CTGTAAGTAAGCATTTCACTGTAATGTCTGCACCTGTTGTATTCGGCGCATGTGGCCAATAAAATTTTATTTGATTTGATTTGAAAAGAGGCGGAGACTCACGTAGCGAGTGCCATAAGAGGGAGTGGTCTCCTCTCCTTTGAGCCAGCTTGGAGGGGCGTGTCCCCCCTCATTGGGCATGGTCAGTGCCCTCTGACCCTTGGGCTACCAATCAGTAAGCGGGAGAGATGGAGCAAACCCAGACGGGACTGAGAGTTGGAGGAGAGCCTCCCTTGGCTGGAGCGCTGCGAAGAGAGATAGAGAGAGAGATGAGAGAGAGAGAGAGAAGAGAGAGAGATAGAAGAGGAGAAGAGCGAGAGATAGAGACAGAAGAGGGAGACAGAACAGAGAGAGACAGAGATAGACAGAAAGAGAGAGAGAGATAGAGATAGAGACATAGAGAGAGAGAGGAGAGAGAGAGAGAGAGAGACAAGAGAGATACAGAGAGAGGATAGACATAGATAGACAGAGATCGATAGAGAGAGAGAGAGATGGATAGAGATCTCCCTCTCTCTCTCTCTTCCTCTCTCTCTCTCTCTCTTCGCTCTCCTCTCTCTTCTCTCTCTCTCTCTCTCTCTCCCTCTCTCTCTCTCTCTCGCTCTCTCTCTCTCTCTCTCTCTCCTCTCTCTCCCTCCTCTCTCTCTCTCTCTCTCTCTTCCTCTCTCTCTCTCTCGCTCTCTCGCTCTCTCTCGCTCCCTCTTCCACCCTTCCTCCCCTTTCCTCCCCTGTTTCCTACCCGGGTTATCGAATCAGGTCACGCATCACGGAAACGGACAACATCCTTTGTAGCAACTTAAATGATATTATGAGCAGAAAACCCAATTCATCGCCATCGTTCATTGAAGTTGATGGGTAATTTATAACAAAACCTTTTGATATAGCCAATCATTTGAATGACTATTTCACTAATAAAGTGGACAAACTAAGAAGTGAAATGACAACATTGAACAGTGAACCATCATATTTGTTTATTGAAGATCTAATAATGAAAGAGAAGGATTGCTGTTTTGAATTTGGTCAAGTTTGTGTGGAAGAGGTGGGAAAACGATTGTTATGCATCAATAATGATAAGCCACCAGGTATAGACAACCTAGATGGGAAACTATTGAGAATGGTAGCAGACTGTATTGACACCCCTATTTGCTATGTCTTTAACCAATGCCTAATGGAGTGTGTGTCCACAGGCGTGGAAGGCGGCTAAAGTAATTCCACTACCTAAAAATAGTAAAGCACCCTTTGCTGGCTCTAACAGCCGACAAATACGTTTGCTGCCTGTTCTTGGTAAACTGATGGAGGAAATTGTTACAGGAGGGGGTCGCAGTTCCGGAGCGACCCACTAGGTGTCAACCTTCGACAACCTTAGGCACCTCCTTACTCACAGTCTGGACTAATCATTATCATATTGGTGTAACCTGTGTCTACCTGTTCACCTGTGTATTTATGGCCTCACTTCCCTGTGTTCCCTTGTTCAGTTCTCTCTGCTAGTTTCTCTATGCTCAGCAGTACTAATCAGTGTCTGATCGGAGAAGTATGTACAGGTACTCGAGAAGTGTTCTCCCTGTTTCTTTATTACTTCAGTCGTAGTTACTATTTCGTATTTTGGCTGTCAGCCTGTTTTTGGAGACTTATTTGCTCCACCTTTCTTTTATTGTGTTAAGTCCATTGTTTTGTATCCTGGCTTCGGGACCACCAGTAAAGATCCTTGTTTTCACCATCTCTGCCTACTGCCTACTGTCTATCCTGCACCGCACCTGGGTCACAACTCACACCAACCCTTACAGGAAATTGTTTGAACAAATACAATGCTAGTTAACTACTGACTTTCAGCATGCATATAGGGAAGAGCACTCAACTTGTACTGCACTGACTCAGATGATTGATGATTGGGTAAAATAAATGCATACTAAGAGCATTGTATTTGGTTCAAAGCATTCTCTTAGACCTAAACCTCAGCTGGAGTTGTGCACAAAGGGTGTGACCATTGAACAAGTTGAAGAAGCTGAACTCCTAGGAGTAACATTGAATGGTCAGTTATCATTGTCAAGTCATATTGACAAAGTCGTTGTGAAGATGGGGAGAGCTATGTCTGTTATAAAAATATGTTCTGTGTTTTTGAAACAAAGATCAATACTAGTTGATCAGGCTCTGATCTTGTCCCATCTTGATTACTGTCCGGTAATACTGTCAGGTGCAGCAAAGAAAGACCTAGCAAAGCTGCAGCTGGCTCAAAACAAAGCAGCATGCCTTGCCCTTAACTGCTCCCACTGAACTAACATCAACAACATGCATGATAGTCTTTCATGGTTGAGGATTAAGGAGAAACTGAAAGCAAAAACAGATTTCATGTGTAGCTCAATCATGTATAGAGCCATGTCATCATGGAATGCTCTGCCACCTGAGGTTACTCGGGAGAAAAGCAAGATTAGCTTTAAAAAACAGATAAAAAACATTGTATAACAGCGCCTCCCCTTTCTAAAGATCTAATTTAACTGTACTGTGTATAAGAATATAAATATGTACAGTGCATTCGGAAAGTATTCAGACCCCTTGACTTTTTCCACATTTTGTTACGTTACAGCCTTATTCTAAAACTGATGAAATGTTTATTTTTTATCATCAATCTACACACAATAACCCATAATGACAAAACAAAAACAGGTTTTTATATTTTTTTGCAAATGTATTAAACAGAAATACCTTATTTCAATAAGTATTCAGACCCTTTGCTATGAGACTCGAAATTGAGCTCAGGTGCATCCTGTTTCCATTGATCATCCATGAGATGTTTCTACAACTTGATTGGAGTCCACCTGTGGTAAATTCAATTGATTGCACATGATTTGGAAGGGCACACACCTGTCTATGTAAGGTCCCACAGTTGACAGAGCATGTCAGAGCAAAAACCAAGCCATGAGGTTGAAGGAATTGTCCGTAGAGCTCCGAGACAGGATTGTGTTGAGGCACAGATCTGGGGAAGGGTACCAAAAAATGTCTGCAGCATTGAAGGTCCCCAAGAGCACAGAGGAAGAAGTTTGGAACCACCAAGTCTCTTCCTAGAGCTGGCCACCTGGCCAAACTGAGCAATCGGGGGAGGTCAGGGAGGTGACCAAGAACCCGATGGTCACTCTGACAGAGATCCAGAGTTCCTCTGTGGAGGTGGGAGAACCATCCAGAAGGACAACCATCTCTGCAGCACTCCACCAATCAGGCCTTTATGGTAGAGTGGCCAGACGGAAGCCACTCCTCAGTAAAAGGCACATGACAGCCCGCTTGGAGTTTGCCTAAAGGCACCTAAAGGACTCTCAGACCATGAGAAACAAGATTCTCTGGTTTGATGAAAACAAGATTGAACTCTTTGGCCTGAATGCCAAGCGTCAAGTCCGGAGGAAACCTGGCACCATCCCTACGGTGAAACATAGTGGTGGAATCATCACGCTGTGGGGATGTTTTTCAGCGGCAGGGACTGGGAGACTAGTCAGGATCAAGGGAAAGATGAACGGAGCAAAGTACAGAGAGATCCTTGATGAAAACCTGCTCCAGAGCGCTCAGGACCTCAGACTGGGGCGAAGGTTCACCTTACAGCAGGATAACGACCCTACGCACACAGCCAAGACAATGCAGGAGTGGCTTTGGGACAAGTTTCTGAATGTCCTTGAGTGGCCCAGCCAGAGCCCAGACTTGAACCCAATCGAACATCTCTGGAGAGACCTGAAAATAGCTGTGCAGCGACGCTACCCCACCAACCTGACAGAGCTTGAGAGGATCTGCACAGAAGAATGGGAGAAACTCCCCTAATACAGGTGTGCCAAGCTTGTAGCGTCATACCCAAGAAGATGTGAGGCTGTAATCGCTGCCAAAGGTGCTTCTACAAAGTACTGAGTAAAGGGTCTGAATCCTTACGTAAATGTAATATTTCAGTTTATTATTTTTAATACATTTGCAAAAATTTCTAAAAACCTGTTGCTTTGTCATTATGGGGTATTGTGTGTAGATTGATGAGGGGGAAAAAATATTTTATACATTTTAGAATAAGGCTGTAACGTAACAAAATGTGGAAGAAGTCAAGTGGTCTGAATACTCTCCGAATGCACTGCATATATGAATAAAGTGTAAATATTATTTTTTGTTGTCGCTTGGGGTCTTTCTATATATAACTCTTATTTTATTTATATTTTTTATTTAGAATTTAATGTAATATCTTATGTTGTTATTGTCTATAACTGTTCTGTACTTTTTATGTGGACACCAGGAAGAGTAGCTTCTGCATGTGCAGTACCTAATGGGGATTCTAATAAACTTAACTAAACACTGTGTTCCCTAAAATAGATGAAGACAGACAGAGGTGACAAGCCCTCCATATAAGAATCCCCTGTAGCTCAGTTGGTAGAGCATGGCGCTTGCAACGCCAGGGTTGTGGGTTCGTTTCCCACGGGGGGGCAGTATGAAAATGTATGCACTCACTAACTGTAAGTCAGTCTGCTAAATGACTAAAATGTAAAAACAATGTAAGAACATTGTAGCCTCTAACATCTCCACCATACATCCCTAAACCTGTTATCCTTCACACAATATCCTTACTGTATACATTACATACTCCACATCTCTCTAGACCTAAACACACTTATCATGGCTCCAGGTCAGGTATGAATGTAAGCAAATACACTCTGACTGCACACACACAGTACATGGTATGCAGCTAGCACATATCAATGATATATACTGCACATAGACGGTTCTGTATTTAGGCCTACTGTAGCTAGCACACAATCCAGGTGGGTGTCATGCTGTGTGAAGTCTAGACTTTATATGTAGAATGCATACCAACAAAGCAGGTCAGGTACTTCACACAGGTGTTAGTTATTATAACAACTCGTAAGCATTTCCGCATGTCTCCTGTGCATTGAGGAGTATTCCTAACTGACTTGTAGCTTTGGGCTGTGTCGGTGAAAGTACCACGTTAGTTATGAGGCACACACCACAAGCACAAGGTATTCCTCTAAACCTGCTCAGCGTGTTTTAATAAAGCCAGTGTGTTGGAGGGACCAGGTGCCAGCAGGGCAGAGCACACACACATCCTTCCTATTCCCCTTTGTCACACTGAATTAATTGGTTTTAAAAAGAGAGGGAATAGTCAGTCAATGGTCATTGAGCCTATTCTTTCCTGATAGCTCCATATCTCTTCATTCTGAATCGCTGTCCTACACTTGAACATTCTCTCCATGTCTGTCTCACACCATGTTCGTTGCCACGGTTACTTACCACTACTGTACCACAAATGCTTGACGATGTACCACTTAACCCTGACCCAATTACTGGACCAGGAACTGTAGGCACAAAAACTGTTCACTGGGAGCTTCATGAAATGGGTTTCCATGGCAGAGTAGACACACACAAGCCTAAGATCACCATGCGCAATACCAAGCGTTGGCTGGAGTGATGTAAAGCTCGCCACCATTGGACTCTGGAGCAGTGGAAATGCGTTCTCTGGCGTGATGAATTACGCTTCAACATCTGGCAGTCCGACGGACGAATCTGGGTTTGGCGGATGCCAGGATAACTCTACCTGCCCCAATGCATAGTGCCAACTGTAAAGTTTGGTGGAGGAGAAATAATGGTCTGTGGCTTTTTTTCATGGTTTGGGCTAGGCCCCTTAGTCCCAGTGAAAATAAATCTTAACGCTACAGCATACAATCACGTTCTAGACGATTCTGTGCTTCCAACTTTGTGGCAACAGTCTGGGGAAGGCCCTTTCCTGTTTCAGCATGACAATGCCCCTGTGCACAAAGCGAGGTCCATACAGAAATGGTTTGTCGAGATCGGTGTGGAAGAACTTGACTGGCCTGCACAGAGCCCTGACCTCAACCCCATCGAACACCTTTGAGATTAATTGGAACGCCGACTGCGAGCCAGGCCTAATCGCCTAACATCAGTGCCCAAACTCACTAATGCTCGTGGCTGAATGGAAGCAAGTCCCCGCAGCAATGTTTCAACATCTGGTGGAAAGCCTTCCCAGAAGAGTGGAGGCTGTTATAGCAGCAAAGGGGGGACCAACTCCATATTAATGCCCATCATTTTTGAATGAGATGCTCAATGAGCAGGTGTCCACATACTTTTGGTCATGTAGTGTACCTTGCAGGTCAACGTTTAGTAAACTAAAATAATGTTTTGAAAAATGTAAATTAACTAATTTACAGAGAAAATATTAGAGACATCAGATGTATTGAATGTCTAATTTGCATAAGCTTTTCAAATTCTGTTTTTATATAATCAAATCAAAACAATACAGAGAGAAAAAAAATAAAAATAACAGACAAATAATAACACAAGGAATAAATACACAATGAGTAACGATTACTTCGCTATATACACAGGGTACCAGTACCGAGTCAATGTGCAGGGGTATGAGGTAATTGAGGTAGATGTGTACATATAGGTAGGGATAAAGTGACTAGGCAACAGGATAGATAATAAACAGTAGCAGCAGCGTATGTGATGAGTCAAATGAGTTCATGCAAAAAGGGTTAATGCAGATAGTCCGGGTAGCTATTGGTTAACTATTTAACTAACTATTTAGCAGTCTTATGGCTTTGGGGTAGAAGCTGTTCAGGGTTCTGTTGGTTCCAGACTTGGTGCATCGGTACCGCTTGCTGTGCGGTAGCAGACAGAACGTTCTATGACTTGGGTGGCTGGAGTCTTTGACCATTTTTAGGGCCTTCCTCTGACACCGCCTGGTATAGAGGTCCTGGATGACAGGGAGCTCGGCCCCAGTGATGTACTGGGCCACACGTACTACCCTCTGTATCCCCTTGCGGTCGGATGCAAAGCAGTTGCCATACCAAGCGGTGTTGCAGCCAGTCAAGATGCTCTCAATGGTGTAGCTGTATAACTTTTTGAGGATCTGAGGGCCCATGCCGACTCTATTCACCGTCCTGAGGGGGAAGAGGCGTTGTCTTGCCTTCTTCACGACTGTGTTGGTGTGTGTGGACCATGATAATTCCTTAGTGATGTGGACAACAAGGAACCTGAAGCTCTGAGAAGGTGCGAGAGGGACGAGAGAGAGAGAGGAGAGAGAGAGAGAGAGAGAGAGAGAGAGAGAGAGAGGAGAGAGGAGAGAGAGAGAGGAGAGAGAGAGAGAGAGAGAGAGAGAGAGAGAGAGAGAGCCAACTGAGATTCCTGTCCCCTAATGGGGACTGACACTCAGGCACACAGACAATACGTGACCTTTCCGACGAGACAGGCAAGCATTCAACGGCACGATTCACCAAACACAATCACCACTCTTATGTAAGAAGCTGTGGGTGAACTTGGTCTGTATGTACACTGTAGAGAGTGGAGACCTTTCTCTATCCCCTCCTTCACCCTTGCCTTCTCAGTATGATATAGACACAGTAGGTTCAACTAATGTTCTTATCCCGGGCTTTCACTAGCTTGATGAAGTTAAATAGACTTGATAATGAGTTTTGTGTGCATGTAGGCTTCGTTTGAATTGAGCAATGTTGCGGTGGTGCAAGACTGAGGATTTGACAGTCTGTCTTATGTGGTGGTCAAAGGAGAGGGTAGAGTCCAGAATGACACCAAGGTTGTGCGTTCGGGGGAAGGGAGAGACAATAGTGTCGTCTTTGGTGAGGGTGGATTTGGTGCCAATGAGGAGGAGTTCAGCTTTATCACTGTTGAGCTTGAGGAAGTTATGTTGCATCCATGTTATTATTGCAGAGGGGCAGGATTCAATGTGGGTCAGAGGTGGGTTGAGGAGGGATTTGGTGTTGAGGTAGATCTGGGTGTCATCGGCATAGCATTGGAAGTCAAGGTTGAAGTGACGGAGGATCCGACCAAGTGAGAGGATGTAGATGATGAAGAGGAAGGGATCCAGCACAGAGCCCTGGGGGACATCCTGTGTAACTGCAGCTGAGTCTGAGGTGTGGCCATTGAGGGAGATTTAGTGGGTCCTGTTTGTAAGGTATGATTGTAGCAAGGAGAGTGCGGTGCCCTCAACACCCAGACCCTCAAGCCTGGTGAGGAGGATCTGATGGCTCACTGTGTCAAAAGCAGCACTCTGGTCGAGGAGAATCAGGATGTTGAGGGCACCAGCATCAGCAGAGGTGAGGAGGTCATTGACAACTTTGAGTAGTGCAGTTTCAGTAATGTAGAGGGGGTGGAAGCCAGACTGGAGGGGCACGAATAGGTTGTTGACAGAGGAGAACAGAGTCTGGGAGTTCTTATTGGAGTTGATGATGATGTTGGATAAGTAGCTGGACCTGGCAACACTGAGGGCATCTCTGTAGGTGGAGAGGGGGAGTTTGTAGGCCTATAAGAGCGTCTGCTAAATTACTAAAATGTAAAATGAAACATTTAAATGTCTTGGAATGGCATAGTCAAAGCCCAGACCTCAATCCAATCGAGAATCTGTGGTATGACTTAAAGATTGCTGTACACCAGCGGAACATTTTTACATTTTAGTCATTTAGCAGACGCTCTTATCCAGAGCATACTTTTTCTTTTTTTCATACCCATCCAACTTGAAGGAGCTGGAGTAGTTTTGCCTTGAAGATTGGGCAAAAATCCCAGTGGCTAGATGTGCCAAGCTTATAGAGACATACCCCAAGAGACTTGCAGCTGTAATTGCTGCAAAAGCTGGCTCTACAAAGTATTGAATTTGGGGGGGTGAATAGTTATGCACGCTGAAGTTTTCTGTTTTTTTGTCTTAAATATTTTGCATTTTCAAAGTGATAGGCATGTTGTGTAAATCAAATGATACAAACCCTCAAAAAATCCATTTTAATTCCAGGTTGTAAGGCAACAAAATAGGAAAAATGCCAAGGGGGGTGAATACTTTAGCAAGCCACTGTATATGAAATAGGCCTATAGGCGAAGCAGAAATGTGTACAACATGTCTCAAGTTATAAGGTGTCGGAAATCATCTGGGAAAGCTAGTACACTTGCTGGAACTGCTCCAAAACAAGCCGTTTAGGGTCAGATTCTCTACCCATCACAACACACAACTCACTGACCCCACTACACTAGTCATAGGGCTTTTCCACAGCAGCACTGGTGTCACTACAGACTTTTTAGGGTGTAAGCACTAGTATTACTTGTGTTAACCAAGTAGGATGGTTGGTTACCTTCTCTAGGTTGGCTGGCCTTGCCGCTCCACTCCGGAGGGTAGTCCATGTTAGCCATGGCCTGGGTTATCCTCTCATCCATCTCCCTGAGACGACACTCCACCTGTGGATCAGGTCTGGGTCTCCCACCTCTACCCCCCTCCTCCTCCTGGTCTGTCTGCCCCAGATAGTGCTCCTCTCCTGGACAAGATCTCCTGTTACCCTCCCTGTCCCCCTCCCCTGGAGCTGCTGAGACCCTCCTCAGAACCTCCAGGTGGCTCTGGGGACTCAAACAGTCGCTGTTGGCTAGCAGGTACTCGGCCACTTCCTGTGGCAAATCACGGACGTACTTCAGGGAGGCCCCACCTCCACAGGGCTTGGCTCCACCCTCTGTGTGGCGATACACTGTGACAGAGGCAGTCTCTTGGAGGTCGTGACCTGTGGAGGAGAGGAGATGAACAGACAACTGAGGATCAAATATGACAACAATACGGTGCCAACTACCGATGAGACTGACACAAGTCCTGCTGACATTGACGCTCTCCTAATATGGACACTGTACAGCAATAACAGTTTTCTGCTCCCAAATATGATTTCTACTGAAGCTTGTGATACAGCAACATGCCTTTATTAGGTTAGGCAAACTGCTGCTATCTACTGATTTATTACAATCCCTGTTATGTTGACCTGAAATTAGAATAAAATAGGAACTAATGATAACTGGAAGTCAGTGACCCTGTATCAAACTAAGGGTTCTGTTTTAACCTCAGTCAGTAACTCTGTGTGAGACAGTCAGACTGATCTGGGACCAGTGGACACTATAGATGGTGGGACTCACCAGGAACTGTGAAGCAAAGAGACTCTCCATCCTCCGCTCTCTTAGCTACAGTAACATGGGATAGCCTGGAACCTTCTAGAACCACATAGAACTCTGTCTGTTCTGGTTCCGGGTCCAGATCTGGAACCTGCAACACAGCATGGACCTCCACCTGGCCCTGAGGAGAGAGCGAGAGAGAGAGAGAGAGAGAGAGAGAGAGAGAGAGAGAGAGAGAGAGAGAGAGAGAGAGAGCGAGAGAGAGCGAGAGAGAGAGAGGGGGGGGGGGGGACAGAGTTTAACTGTGGGAAATCATTCATTGTTTTCATTGGTTTTCTAACTATTGAGAAGAACAAAGGAAAGGAGAAGAAGATGGACAGCCAATCAACACATTCCTGTGACTGTTCATCAAGGCCACCATTCATAACCTACTTACTACTACCTCCCCTCTCTGAACAGCCATAATAATGCAACGCTGGAGAATTCAAGCAAAAGGATTCAACACTTTCTCTTGCTTGTGGAGAAAATGTGTGTCTGAAAGGTTCTTTTCTACTCTTCCTCACGCTAAAGCCTTTTGATTATTTTCACTAGTTTTCAGACGTTTCCTCCATTTCATGGATTCTGAGAGGCCCTTCAGAGCTAATGATGGAGGAAGAGAGGGATAGAGAGAGCGAGAGGGAGAGATACACCCCTCCTTCATCTCTCTGACTGTGGGAATGCTCCACTCCTCCACCCATATTTCACCCAGCAGAGCAAACTGCCTCTTCAGCTACAACTCAAAGACAAGCTATCCCTCGCTTTCTCTCTTCTTTATCCTTAACTCTCCCACTCTCTTGACAAATCTCTGTTGATTGATTCTTCTGTCTCACCCTCATTTTCCCCACACTTTCTCCATCTCTCACTTTCTCACCCCCTCTCTCACTCTACCCATCTTGCTCTTTTTATCACACTCTCTCTCTCCTCTCTCTGCTTCCTTCCTCGCTCTCTCTCTCTCGCCCTCCTTCAGGTGGGGGATTTTGTTTCCTTCCATAATTAGTATCGGGGAAGGTGGAGGCCTCTCTCTGAAGACGAGAAGGGTGGGATACAAATGAACCTGATACCCACATGAAAGACGCCAATCACACGGCTGTATAGCGTATGCGGAAAAGTTGAGGACGGACAAACGGACATCAACACGTCACAGAGACCAGCCCTAATCTGGCTAGGAGTTGTACACTGAGCTTTGGTGATCGTTGACAATACTTTGCCACAGAACACACACACAGCATTATGAAGAGCAACAACATAGGCCTGGCTGGCTGTAAGGTCAGAGCTATTTGACTGCTCACTGACCCCCAGATACAGGCTATTGAACCAAGGAAAATGACCCATGAACAAGGAAAATGTAATGGACCAATAAGAACACTAAGGCAACCACACTTTAATATTTCAGAATGGCTGTTTTTGCATGGCTATTTTCAATGAATAATAATCTGTCTATGAAGGAGGAATCACAATGAACTCCACCATAAAATGGGAAATCCTCCAAGCTGTGACGAGGTGTGAAAGAAGGAGTCAGGCGCAGGAGGTAAAATACCGAAGTCCAGAGTTTAATCCGTTTGCATAAATCAAACGCCCCAAGCGTCAAACTAAACTGTTCAAGGGAAAACATCCACCTTGGCAATGACACAGTGAAATGTAGCTCAACCGAGCTACACGCTCTCACAACAAAACAATCACTCACAAAGACAAGGGGAACAGAGGGAACACTTATACACATAGTAATTAGGGGAATGAGCACCAGGTGTGTGTGATTGACAAGACATGACAAGTGGAGTGATGAGAATGGGATCGGCAGTAGCTAGTACTCCGGTGACGATGAACGCCGAAGCCTGCCCGAACCAGGAGGGGGGGCAGCCTCGGCGGAAGTCGTGACACAAGCACAAATCCACTTACACTATGTATACAAAAGTATGTGGACACCCGTTCAAATTAGTGGATTCGGCTATTTCAGCCACACACATTGCTGACAGGTGTATAAAATCAAGCACACCGCCATGCAATCTCCATAGACAAATATTGGCAGTCGAATGGCCCGTTCTGAAGAGCTCAGTGACTTTCAACGTCGCACCGTCACAGGTTGCCACCTTTCCAACAAGTCAGTTGGTCAAATTTCTGAATGCTAGAGCTGCCCCGGGTCAACTGTACATGTTGTTACTGTGAAGTGGAAACATCTAGGAGCAACAACGGCTCAGCCACGAAGTAGTAAGCCACACAAGCTCACAGAACGGGACCACCGAGTGCTGAAGTCCGTAGCGCGTAAAAATTGTCTGTCCTCGGTTGCAACACTCACTACCGAGTTCCAAAATGACTCTGGAAGCAACGTCAGCACAATAACTGTTCGTCGGGAGCTTCATGAAATGGGTTTCCATGGCTGAGCAGCCGCACACAAGCCTAAGATCACCATGCGCAATGCCAAGTGTCGGCTGGAGTGGTGTAAAGCTCGCCGCCATTGGACTCTGGAGCAGTGGAAACGCGTTCTCTAGAGTGATGAATTACGCTTCAACATCTGGCAGTCCGACGGATGAATCTGGGTTGGCAAATGCCAAGAGAACGCCACCTGCCCCAATGCATAGTGTCAACTGGAAAGTTTGGTGGAGGAGGACTAATGGTCTGGGGCTGTTTTTCATGGTTCGGGCTAGGCCTTAGTTCCAGTGAAGGGAAATGTTAACGCTACAGCATACAATGACATTATAGATGATTCTGTGCTTCCAACTTTGTGGCAATAGTTTAGTGAAGGCCCTTTCCTGTTTCAGCATAACAATGCCCCCATGCACAAAGCGAGGTCCATACAGAAATGGTTTGTCGAGATCAGAGTAGAAGAACTTGACTGGCCTGCACAGAGCCCTGACCTCAACCCCATCGAACACCTTTGGGATGAATTGGAACAAGCTAGGCCTAATCGCCTAACATCAGTGCCCAACATTACTAATGATCTGAATGGAAGCAAGTCCCTGCAGCAATGATCCAACATGTAGTGGAACGCCTTCCCAGAAGGTTGGAGGTTGTTATAGCAGCAAAGGGGGGACCAACTCCATATTAATGCCCATGATTTTGGAATGAGATGTTGGACGAGCAGGTGTCCACATACTTTTGATCATGTAGTGTATGTTATCAACAGTATGATAGGCACTAACCACTTCAGCATAACCACCCAACACTAAATCTATTGAATGCGAAAAAGGAAGCGGTAGGCAATATGAAGGAGTGTTTGAGAGGTAGAAAACCAGTGTATTGAGCTGCAACTGATAAGAATAAGATAACCCTTCTTTCTAGTTTAGTTTGATAAGAAACTAGGTGATTCACAGAGGGTGTGTCGGACACTGTGTCCTTATTAAGGTCTGAGGGACAGAAGTCTGTGAGAGGGTAGGGTGGCAGACTAGCTTTCCTATTGTGTGTGTGTATGTGTGTGTGTGTGTTTGTGTGTGTGAGAGAGTGTGAGAGAGTGTGTGGGAGAGAGGGAGAGAGAGCGTGTTTGTGTGCATGCATGCGTGTGTGCGTGTGTGCGCGCGCGTGTGTGTATGTGCTTGTGTGTGTGAGAAAGAGGGTAGGGTGGCAGACTGACGTTACAGCTCTGCTCCAGCCTCCAGGCATGCCACATCATTAAGCTGTGACGCTGTGACACAGTCGGCTCGAGTGACACTGAATTATTACCGGTGAACTCACCTCCACTCCCTGGAAGGTGTGAGGGTTTAGACCTGGTCCCAAACGGGATCATTATGGAATACGAAGATGGTGGGGACTGAACCCCCCCAAAATGGTCACTTCACGTTATTTGTTACATGATTCGTAAACAACAGGTGTAGACTAACAGTGAAATACTTACTAACTGGCCCTTGCCAACAATGCAGAGAGAAAACTGAGAAATAATAGAAAAATAATAACACCAGGAATAAATACACAATGAGTTACGATTACTTCGCTATATATACAGGGTACCAGTACCGAGTCAATGTGTAAGGTATGAGGTCATTGAGGTAGATATGTACATATACAGTTGAAGTCTGAAGTTTACATACACCTTGGCCAAATACCTTTAAACTTTTCACAATTCCTGACATTTAATCCAAGTAAAATTCCCTGTCTTAGGTCAGTTAGGATCACCACTTTATTTTAAGAATGTGAAATGTCACTAAATGTCACTAAATGTCAATAATAGTAGAGAGAATGATTTATTTCAGCTTTTATTTCTTTCATCACATTCCCAGTAGGTCAGAAGTTTACATACACTCAATTATTATTTGGTAGCCTTGCCTTTAAATTGTTTAACTTAGGTCAAACGTTTCGGGTAGCCTTCCACAAGCTTCCCACAATAAGTTGGGTGAATTTTGGCCCATTCCTCCTGACAGAGCTGGTGTAACTGAGTCAGGTTTGTAGGCCTCCTTGCTCGCAAACGCTTTTTCAGTTCTGCCCACACATTTTCTATAGGATTGAGGTCAGGGCTTTGTGATGGCCACTCCAATACCTTGACTTTGTTGTCCTTAAGCCATTTTGCCACAACTTTGGAAGTATGCTTGGGGTCATTGTCCATTTGGAAGATCCATTTGCGACCAAGCTTCAACTTCCTGACTAATGTCTTGAGATGTTGCTTAAATTTATCCACATAATTTTCCTTCCTCATGATGCCATTTATTTTGTGAAGTGCACAAGTCCCTCCTGCAGCAAAGCACCCCCACAGCATGATGCTGCAACCCCACGGTTGGGATGGTGTTCTTCGGCTTGCAAGCGTCCCCCTTTTTCCTCCAAACATAACAATGGTCATTATGGCCAAACAGTTCTATTTTTGTTTCATCAGACCAGAGGACATTTCTCCAAAAAGTATGATCTTTGTGCCCATTTGCAGTTGCAAACCGTAGTCTAGCTTTTTTATGCCGGTTTTGGAGCAGTGGCTTCTTCCTTGCTGAGCGGCCTTTCAGGTTATGTCGATATAGGACTCGTTTTACTGTGGATATAGATACTTTTGTACCTGTTTCCTCCAGCATCTTCACAAGGTCCTTTGCTGTTGTTCTGGGATTGATTTGCACTTTTCACCCCAAAGTATGTTCATCTCTAGGAGACAGAACATGTCTCCTTCCTGAGCGGTATGACGGCTGCGTGGTCCCATGGTGTTTATACTTGCGTACTATTGTTTGTACAGATGAACGTGGTACATTCAGGCGTTTGGAAATTGCTCCCAAGGATGAACCAGACTTGTGGAGGTCTACAAAAATAATACGGAGGTCTTGGCTGATTTTTTTTTATTTTCCCATGATGTCAAGCAAAGAGGCACTGAGTTTGAAGCTAGGCCTTGAAATACATCCACAGGTACACCTCCAATTGACTCAAATGATATCAATTAGCCTATCAGAAGCTTCTAAAGCCATGACATCATTTTCTGGAATTTTCCAAGCTGTTTAAAGGCACAGTCAACTTAGTGTATGTAAACTTCTGACCCTCTGTAATTGTGATAATCTGTCTGTAAACAATTGTTGGAAAAATTACTTGTGTCGTGCACAAAGTAAATGTCCTAACCGACTTGCCAAAACTATAGTATGTTAACAAGAAATGTGTGGAGTGGTTGAAAAACGAGTTTTAATGACTCCAACCTAAGTGTATGTAAACTTCCGACTTCAACTATAGGTTGGGGTAAAGTGACTAGGCAACAGGATAGATAATAAACAGTAACAGCAGCGTATGTGATGAGTCAAATGAGTTCATGCAAAAAGGGTAAATGCAGATAGTCCTGGTAGCTATTTGGTTAACTATTTAACTAACTATTTAGCAGTCTTATGGCTTGGGGGTAGACGCTGTTAATTTACGCCCCAAGTAGAAGCTTGAGGGTAAATGCTGAATGAGGATTGTTTTTCTGTGGCAGTCTTCCTCGTATAGCCTATTTTTCGGAGGCAAAACAAAGCCCTTAACCAACATGACTTTTAACTAACATGGCTTGAATCTTCCACCATGCTCTTATGATGGTGATGAAACCAACAACAGCCAGGTCACGCCGACCCATCCATGGTTTCTAGGAGACCAGGAACCATCTCCCTCCTGAGTGATCTCTCTCCTGAGGTATTCACACGCACACACACAGGTGACATCTAGGAAGCCAGCCCTGATCTAGCCTACTGCAGTAACAACAACAACAACATCAAACTCAAAGCTCGACAACAGGTGGCCTGAATACATGAGGTAGCCAAGTAGCCTCAAAACAAGAATGATACGAAAAACAGAAGCGGCATCTGATATGCTGGCAAGACTCATCTACACACACTACACACACACAACACACACACACACACACACTCCCGCCTAGTCTAGTTTCTATGGTCTTTGAATAATGTACAAGAACAACTGGTGGAGCTGTGTTCTACTGTTCACTTTGAAGTGTGTAGAAGATCTGAAGTGGACAAGCATGTTCTAATCCTCTTATAGAATCATAACAGGACTGATCTGAATGGCCCTTTTTAAAAACGAATGACTTCATGGAACAGCTTTGATCAAAGACCATCTGAGGCCACAGTGCTTAGAACTCAACTTTTTCCAACATAGAACTTGGTCCTGTGCAGATCAGTTGGTAGAGCATGGCGCTTTCAACGCCAAGGGTTGTGTGTTTGATTCCGGCTGGAACCACCCATATGTAAAATGTATGCACACATGACTGTAAGTCGCTTTGGATAAAAGCTTATGCTAAATGTCATTCATATTTAGATTTATATCTTTAACTCTGCCATTTCAATTACCATATCAACTTTAAGGACCTATACATGGACAATAGGCTTATATGAGTAGCCTACACACAAAGCATTTCAAGATTACTCAAAGACAATCAATCAAGCATGGAAAAAATATATTTTAGAGGTGGGAAACTGTATTGTCCTTTGAAATAATGATAGGTAAAATATTGACATGACAAGGCGAAAGGAACCTTGATGTACTGTACTTTCCAGAATGTGAATCCCTGTGAGGCCTTCATGGTGGGTGGCTGTGGGTGTCTGAGCATCGGAATAGAGAAACTTACAGTACACAGCCCATCAGCGGAGCTGCCTGAGCCACATACCTCTGAACAAATCTAGCACACTAATGACACATTCATGTAAACATCAAACTGACTGACTAAAACTCTCATGGCATCATAAGCATTTCTCACAGATTATAGGGATTTGTGGATTTCTTACATAATGTGCAAGAGTAACCTGAATTGTTGTGCAAACCTACAGACATGAATGTATGAAGAACAATACACAAAAGTGCATGTTACAATCATGTCTAAATTGAAGTCTTCCTCCCTATTGCACTGAATGGTTGGTGCAGAAGATTAGATATGTATTAGTGGGACTATAGGCCACACACATTATGTGGTAGACCTAATGTGTTTTATCATATTTGCTTGCATCCAAAAGTCCTCTATTGTTGTACTTTGAGCTGCTAATCATCCAGTGATAAAGGAAAGACATGGTGAGATGTTCCTGTTATTCCCAGGTTGGTAAACCCGGCATGGCTAACACAGTGCCTTCATTATCTGACACACTAAAAGGTTACAGTAATCATTAACCACAACTGTATGTACAGTAGATAGATACCAAGCCTTAATACTGCCTCAACCAACAGTTCTTACAACCTCTATCAAAGCATAGTGGCACCTGACACACACACACACACACACACGTATCCCTTTCATCTCTGTTTTCAAAAGTGGTAGAAAATAATCATCATGAACTCTTTATAGAAGCAAAGACAATTCATGTTCTGTTTCTGTGTTTCTGTCAAGTAATTCTCCGTGACAGCTTTTGACCTATGAGAAGGCCTCACATTCCTCTCCTCTAACCCAAAACCCCAGCAGCCTGCCAGTCCTCTACCAGGTGATCACTCACAGCCAGCCAACAATAGCACTACCAGATCACCTCACACACACACAGTACCACATAGTACCACACAGTACCACACACATACACACCTATACACACACACCTGGACAAGCAGCACGGGCATAGGCACACATACCACAAAATGCAGACACTTCATCTCAGTCTGAACCTTCACACAGAACAAACACAAATCACCAGACACAAGCAATTACACAGTGAGAACCTCTACCTAGTATTCAATACTGCCATTTGTCCATTGTACTGACTGTGTACTTTATGGTGTGGTGAGAGTCAAAGCAAGGCTCTATGTTGTCGCTGTGTAGGTCTGCTCCACCATAAAACTTTAATAGGCCAGTTATAATAACACTCTCTATCAATGAAATATAGCACAGCTTACATCCACAAAGCAGAGAGCATTGATGTCTGGCTCTCATTCAGAGGTGCTACAGAGGCAGTGCTAGGACCTTAGAGTGGAGACCACCTCACCTTGTAACACATAAGTATAGGTTCAACCTTAATGGTTCATTATTTTCATTTTATACCAGGGAGGGCTAAACTGAAACATGATAAAACCTAGAAAACTCTACTAAGAGTAGGTGGGTATTTGTGAGAATTTTCAAAGAAACAGGTTATACTGAACAGTGTTGTAAAAATGTCACTGCTGCTCACTAGTGAATTTAAGAGTTCTGCAACAGAGATTAATAATATGAACCAATAATGAACAAGAGAAAACTGGGGCATGAATCATGAATGTTAAGTGTTCCATGATATACACACCAAACCTCAGGCAACCAGGCTCTCAATAACAGAAAGGAAACATGGTGGCATAGTAAAACAAACAGATACTCTACTCTATCTCTCTCTCTCTCTACCCACCAGAAATCTGGCAACGCTTCAGCACCTGGCCGGCTGGCTGGCTGGCTGGCTGGCTGGCCCACCCAGGATTCTACCACACAGGAGTAGAGGGAGAGAGAAAAAGAGGGGGGAAGAGAGGGAGGGGAAGTGAGCTAGAGAGATAGAGAGAGAGAGGATGAGGACAGAGACAAGAACGAGAAATTTTCCCCTTTATTTTTTTTTTTTAAAAGTGGGTTTTAAAAATTTTTTTGGGACTTTTGTTCTGTTTTGTGTTTCTGTAAGTTTTGTCATTTTCCCAAAACCCCCACCCCCCAACCCAAAAAACCCCCCCCCACCCCCCCCCCCCCCCCCACCCAAACCCCCACACCAAAAAAAAACCCAAAAAAAAAAAAAAAAAAGGGGAGGGGGCCCCGGGAGCCCCCCCGGTTTAAAGCCCCCCGGTGGGGGGGGGGTTTTTGTTTGTAGTTGGGGGGGCATGGGGGGGGGGGGGGGGGGTTTGGGGGGGGGGGGGGGGGGGGAAAAAAAGGGAAAAAAAAAAAAACCAAAAACCAAAAAAAAAAAAAGGGGTTTTGGCTCGAGGCAGTGTTGGGAACCTTAGAGTGGAGACCCCCTCCCTTGTAACACAAAAAGTATAGGTTAACCCTTTAAGGGTTCATTTTTTTTTCATTTTACCAGGGGGGGGTAAAAAACGAAACTGATAAAACCTAGAAAACTCTACTAAGGTAGGGTGGGGTTTTTTTAGAATTTTAAAAAGAAAAAACGGGGTTAAAAAATTAACATTTTAAAAAGAAACTGGGGCTGCACTGGTTGGTTCTGCAACAAGGATTAACAATGAAAAATAATGAAAAGAAAAAAAGGGGGAAAAAGAAGTTAAGGAGAAAACAAAAATAGGAAAGGAAAAAGAAAGGAACGGGGAAGAAAAAAAAAGGGAATTAACCCCCCCCAAAGAAAGGAAAGGAGGGGGGGGGGGGGGGTGGGGAAGGAACAAAGGGGAGGGGGGAGGGGGGGGGAAAAAAAAAAGAGGGGGGGGACGGGAAGGGGGGGAGGGGAAGGGGGGAAAAAGGGGAAAGAGGGGAAGGGGGGGGGGGAAAGGGGGGGAAAGGGGGGGGAAAGGGAGAAGGGGGGAAAGGGGAAGAAAGAGGGGCAAGAGAGGGAGAGAAGAGAGAGAGAGGGAGAGGAAGAAAGAAGAGGGAGGGGAAAAAAGAGAAAGGGGAAGGGACCCCAGAACCCCCAGAGACAGAGGAAAGGGAAGGACAGGAAAGACAAGGGAAAGAGGAAGAAAGGGGGGAGAGGGGGAGAAAAAGGGGGGAAAGAAAAAGAGAAAAAAAGAGGGAAAAAAACCCAAACACAAACAAACAAAAGAAAAAACACAAGACGGAAAAAAGCAAAACACCAGGGAAGGCCAAAAGGAAAGGAAAAAGATATAAGGGAAAGGATTTACGAAAATAAAAAATAAAACTTCTAAAAATTTATTAAAAGAAAAACAGGATAATAACATTTAATATTTTCCAAGCCCTTTCCCAAAAATTTTTTCTTTTCAAAAAAAATTTTTTAAAGAGAATACAAAAAACAAAAGGGAAAGGAAGGAAAACAAAAGAAAAAAAAAAAAAAAATTTTTTAAAAGTTTTTTTTTAAGTTTTTTTTATGTTTTTGTTGTTTTATTTTTGTTTTTTATTAAAAATTTTTTTTTTTTTTGTTGTATTATTTTTGTTTTTGTATGTCTTTTTTTTTTTTTTTATATTTTTTTTTGGGTTTTTTTATTTTTTTTTATGTTTATTTAAATTTTTTTTTAAAAATTAAAAATTTGGATTATAAATTTGTGTTAATTTTTTAAAATTTATTTATACGTTTTCAAAATAAAAAAGAAAAAAATCGGAAATATTTTATAAATTTTGGGGTTAAAAAGAAAAAAGAAAAAAAAAAAAAAAAGAAAAAAATAAAAAAATAGAAAAAAAAGTCTTCTATTTTTTAATTTTTCTAATTATCTTTTATTCTATATTTTTTCTCATTTCTCTCTCCTCTCTTCCTCTTTCTCTTCTTTTCCTCTTTTTTTTCTTTTTTGGCTTCTCTTTCCTTATTTCTCTCTTCTCTTCTCTTCTCTGCTCTTCTCTGTCTCCTTCCTTTTTAAAAATTTTTATTCTTCTTCGCTCTTTTTCGGGCCCTTCTTTTCTGTCTTGTCTCTCGCTCTCGCTTGCTCTCTCTCCTCCTCTCTCTCTCTCTCTCTCTCTCTCTCTCTCTCTCCTCACACACATATGTATAAAAGCATGGGCTTTTAGTGGGCTCAGTAGGCCCATCTGGAAGAACAGGCTGTGTGTAAAGATTTATATCCCAGGGGAGTGTAACACACCAGGGTTAGATTTCACCTGTAGCCCAACATCAACACAAGGCCATCCAGTCAACAACCAACCAGAGGGAGAGAGGGGACTGAGAGAGGGGAAACGGAGAGAGGGGAAACGGACAGAGGGGAAATGGAGAGAGGGGAAACGGAGAGAGGGGAAACTGAGAGAGGGGAAACGGAGAGAGGGGAAACGGAGAGAGGGGAAACGGAGAGAGGGAAGACAAAAGTGCATAGAGAAGGATGAACAGTACTTACATATAGATGCACTTCTCCTCTGTTCAGCTCCATGTTCTGAGCATCTGATGAACCAATAAGAAGAAAAGGGTCATGCATATTATTATATTATTTCAACCATAGTACAAATGCAAATAACCAATATGTAACCACAACCCTGCATGCATCTGACTAACGACAGCATGTCATGTACAGTAGCCCAGATTGGGTCCAAACTCCTCTCTAAGTCTGATTCATTAATTGGGCAGTCAGAGCGTCAGAATCACAAGGCTCTACTCTACGTGCGAGACACAACCTAATCCTCTCATCATCCTGGTATGTCGGAACATGAGTTCTTCTATTAAACACTGTTATCCTTTTAATATTATCCCATCTCCCCCTTCCTCCCTCCATTCCTCCCTCAATTTATATGTCTCTCTTTTTTCTCCATGGGAAAGAGTGATCCAATCTGTCTGTCTGTGTCTAGAAAATGTTACCTTAAGCTGTCCAGAATGAGAGAATTATTTCAAATGAAAAGGCTTTAGTGTGCAGTCTGTCTGTGCACGGTATATTATTTGCTGTGTTTCTCTCTATTTGGTGGCAGGTTGCAGGAATGGAGGCCACTGTGCTGTAAGTGGAACTGTAGCCACATGCATACACCTGATCCGGTGTGACTTCACTCTCAGTGTGTGTGTGTGAATACTGCAGAGTGACAGAGAGATGGTGTCA